TCGGTGTGAAAACGCCTTTCTCGATCATGCAAAGCGAATCTCTGTAGACTGGATAAATTTGAAAATTCCGACTACTTGCTTTATGGTAAACGCCGCATTTCACTAGCATCAAACGTGTTCTCAAAGCGTAGGTCTTAAAGCCAGGGGTTATGAAGCTAACCTTACTGCTAAGATTTATCTCAAGTATTGTCGCATAACTATAGGCCTTTGTTAAAAATGAAATTAAGGAAACCTTTCCAGTTGGTACTTTTATCAATCGTTGAAATTAGAAATGTCCCTATACAAATGTCTACTTCATAATTTAAGAAACTACACTAGGAAATGAGGTAAAATATGTAAATCTCGTTCTATTCTTCTTTACAGTCTCTGTTTTCCTTTTTGTTTTGTTTTACTCTTCCTGTTTTGTTGTTGTAGAAGAGTGATTTTACTTGAACCGTCAAAGAGGTAGTAGAATACTAAGCATTGCTGATGTAATAATTCTATATTGTCTTTTTTTGTTTACCTCTCTTTATTTTACACTATTTGTTAGTACCTGTTTCACGGTTCAAGTAAAATCACTCTAAGTAGTAAGTTATACAAAATTTATTTTCGATAAACGAACAGAAGTGCTTTGTCTATTCCTAACTGCAAGGCATGGCAGACTATCGACTTAACATTCACAGTTCAATGATATTTTATGTAAATTTGTAAATCTTAAATTTTAAATTGCATTTCTTAATTGATACTGAATTTTTAATATAAATTTGTTAAATCTTAGATTTTTCAATTTTGAATTGAACTTTTGGAATGTGCGATTTTTTAGTCTCCTCATCTTTTACATTTTAAATTTTGAATTAATTATACCTATTTAAATTATTTTCTAACTGTTCACTTTCAAAACAATTGCAAGATACCTTGATTTTTGGAATTTCATGTGCTTTCTTTTTTTCAGTTTTCTCATCTTTTACGATTAAATTTTGAATTTAACCTTTGGAATTTCATGTACGTTTTTTAATTAATATTTTCCTTATCTTTAATTTAACGATTAGTTAGATATTAGGAAAGCATAATACGTTCCTGTTTTATTATAGACTAGCATACACGACCCCCCTCAAGCAGCTTTCCTGCTTTACTGCTGTGTGTTTAGATTCATTCATTCATTCATTCATTCATTCATTCATTCCCAAAAATCAAAAGCTTAATGGAAGTAAATTTTGTCACAATTTGCATGTGACAATATAACAGGGAGACATCCACGCGGGGGGCAACTAATTTGGTATCACTTATTTTTATCCTTAAATCTCTTTCAAAATCTTTGGTTCTTAGAATTACTGATATTAATTGTTTTAACTCTTTGCCACACTATGCTTCAAACTGTTTTAGTCTGTGTTCCCAAAGGCTTTTGATGGAGAGCACTAACTCCTGCCGTTTGAGTCACCAGAGACGCAATGATAGCAATTCTCTCTCTCCTTAAATAACTGAACTAATCACATAACTGAGCATTCGCTCTCATCTTCAGAGGAGCTCTCGTGCTGAGTATTGAATTTGTTCGAAGTACTGGTTGACGGTGTCGATGAACGGGATCCTGAAAAACGGCTTGACGGACGCCCACCACGGTACGCGGTTGACCCTTTGGTTCGCCTGTTTGGGTAAGACGTAGTTGACGCATTGTATGATGCCGGAGATGGGAAAGGGTAACCACCTCTACTTCTGGATACGCAAGCACTCGAGCTTCTCTGCTGACGACGTGTGGTAGGTGACTTGTTCTTGTTGTCAAGCGCTTTAGAAACTCCGACTGCTATTGCTCCTACCGCTGCAATTGCTGCCACCGCGGCTCCTGCCACTAACGGCCAAGAAGGCCCTTCTTGGCGATTAGTGGAAGTAGACGTGGGAGAAGGTATCCCTCTTGTAGCTGTAGGTTGCTGAAAGCCATATTCGACTTGAGCTGTCGAGTATTCGATGATGTACTCTGGGTAGCACTGATCAATGTCAAAGACCACGAAAATGGTTGGGAATGACACGCAATTTACACAAGAGTCGTAGAGATCGCTCGCTTGATTTACAGGGTTCTTTGCTGGTGGCCGTCGATAGCTGGGATGACCAGTAGTGTAAGAGCCAGCAAGAACCTTGGCCACGAACATGAACTTGGACCCTTTTAAGTCTCTCTCGGCGTAATTGTCGCTATAAGAAGCACTTACGGCGAAGTAGCTTCCTGCTCCATAGACCGTTGCGTTCTTCCCATACAAACGCCAATCAAAGTTGTCTTTGCAGATTCCTTCCACGTTCTCAGGATTGGTTCCATGAAACAACTGCTTCTCGTTCACGGACTGGATCGTAGTGTAACCCGCAGTCCTAGAAGATAACATGTTTTCTTTTTTCCTAAAACAAAATACAGCACACAATTCTTTAATAAAATGATTATGATTTCCACACCTTTTAAGGAATCTGAAGCCACAAGCTGCTATATGTAGAACATAATTTTGGGTCCGTATACCGTTTTAATTTGTTTTTAGTGACAGTATATTGTGTGGTGTTCAGGCGGATAAAATCAGTATAAATGACACTGACGCCACCGTCAGAAAAACTACTGCTTGAATGTATTTAGCACGAAAAGGACCATTGACGACTCCACGTATATTTTTACGTCTCCTAATGAAGACGAAACCACCATTTTACGAGAAAGGAAATAACACGCTGAGAAACTCAAGTATCATCGATTATAACTGGTTATGGATACCTTCAACAAATTGGTGAATCTTTGTTACTTTACATTTTTTGCCTCATTAACATACCGTAAAATTCCGAAAAGAAGCCCCGGGCTTTATATTTTTCAAAGGCTCTTTTTGCGGGGCTTATTTCTGGAGTGGCTTATCTATAGAGGGAAATTTGCGTTTCAAAATCGATTGGGCTAGTCTTAGAGTTGGAAGGAAACTTACCGTTTTTGCTATGTCTTACTTTGTATTTGAGGGCAATTTCCAAGTACAAGCCCCCGGGGGGCTTATATTTGAGGGGCGATTTAACTGAGGGTTTTTTGGGTTACGAGTTTGGGGGGCTTATATTTGGAGGGGCTTATTTTCGGAATTTTACGGTATGTTTATCATTATCTGAGGAAGCTATTAACTTAAAGGCTAAAATCTCTGGATAATTCAAAGAACATAACAATTTCAGTTATCTCTGAAAATTTGAGCTCAATAGACCGAATGATCTCGGAGAGATTCTCTTTTAAATACTCGAAATTTTACAAACAATTTATGGCTCATTAACTTTTTGGCCACTCAGCGATTTCGCAGTTTTTTTATAGCTGATATTTCCTTCAGTATTGCTTGCATAGAGCTGAAAATTGTACAAATTGCTCAAAATAATCAACTATTTCAGCTTTTGAATTTAGTTCGTATATACGGCCACGGCTTCTATGAGTTAAGTCGTATGCTAATGAGGAAAAAAAATGTCTGCAAAGATTCGCGTACATGCCGGGTCGCGATTAATAGGGTATACCCTATTGTAAACGTACTCACGCACCTTTGATACTTTTCCCACATGAAAGCGTTTTGCACTCGTTCAATGCTAATGATTGTCACGCTTTGCTCGATCGAGTTTCTAAAGAGCTCCTCCACAAGTTCAAATTCGTCAGAATATGGTGATAACCAAACACGCTGATAACGCGTCATATATGGCATTTGCGACCAGTGGCCTGGTATATAAAGTCTTGTTGCATTTCTCTCGCGCTCCACGTCCTGAAATTCATAAGGAGACAAATCTTTTCGTTTGGAAATCACCTGTAGGGAAGCAGAGCAATCATACTCTTCAGCGAGGTATTCAAGGACTTTTACCTTGGACGGCTCACTAGAACTTACAGCAACGCCTTCTTTAGATTTCATGTCCTGATCGTCCCCGCTTACTTTACCAGTCACGCCCTTTGCGGCGATGCTGCCCCTGAGATCTTTTAAGCCACTTGAAATGCTCTCGCATACCAAAAGCGTTCGACGTACTGAATCAAATTTGCCTCTTATAATTCTTAAGCCAAAGTTCTGAAGTATGGAAACGGTGTGAGCGTTGGCAAACGCACTCTCGTGACGAAGGCCACAACCCGCTTCCTCACCTTCACAGCTCTCTCTGACATAGTCCTTGCAAATGTGCACCTGGCTGCAAGACAAACCTTTTGTGCAACATCCATTGTTATAGTCCAAACATACTTGAGGCAATGAAAGCTGAAAAACCTTGCGGAGGTGTTCTTCAGTCAAACCATCCAAATTGAGTTCCGAAATTAATTTTCGATCTTTGTCGTATTGAAAACTGTGTTTTCTTTGGCATCTACCACCACGTCTGCAGAATCCTGCGATGTACTCCCTGCATACATGGAAGTAAGGACAATCATTTTGAGAACACTTTCTCTTGAAACAAAACCTTGCCTTTCGACAGAGAACACTAACTTGGAAAATTGTTCCTTTCTTTTTTCTGACTAAAAAGCTTTGTTTTCTTGCCTCAAACCACTTGGCAATATCCGCACAAATGTTAGGAAACAAATCTTGTCGTTTCGAAATGAGTTCAAAGGACACCGTGCCATCGTATTCTTTCACAATACAATCGAAAACAGCCTTTTTGGAGGGTGCACATTCTTGAACAGAGCTATTAGGCAGATTATTGAAGGAGCTTTGTTTCACGGTATCACACTGAGATTTTGTAGCGTGCTTTAGTGATGCGGAAACTTTCGGCGATGGTTTAGTACCTTGTTTGACTGCCAGCGCCGTATCTAACGTTTTCGTATCTGCGTTGCAAACTTCGGGGGAAGATTCACAAACTTTGTAAAGAACTCGCTGCTCCCTCGGAACCAAAGTATTGCAACGAACAAAATCTGTTGACATCGACTGATGCGGTACCAGATCATACTCTTTGAGAATCTTCAGGTTGTGAGAATCCGTGAGGTCGTGTGACAAAGAACAAGAACACGCTGAACTTCGGACAGCTTGAGAACAAAAATGAAGGTATAGACATGAATCCGACGTACATTTGCCTTTTGTATACAGCTCACAAACCTGTGGTAAGCTCCACGCAACAATATTTTTGACAGTCCCGTTCGGATATTTAGCCAATCCCAATTCTTTTAATATCTTCTCGTTGTTTTTTGGGTCAAAGAAATTGTGCAAGCGATTGCATTTGCCATGGCAGTTTTGTTCGATGAATCCTTTACAAATATGCCAGAACTTACACTTCCCCTGAGCACTTCGACAAGAACCTTTGTCGTGATATTGTCGACATATTTTTCTTCTTAAATCAATTCGCACACCTGCTATCTCGCCATTGAAATCTTTCACGACGATTAAACGCGGATCATCTTGACTCGTCAGCCAGTTTTTCGCTTCTACCTTTGATTTTCTACTTCCCAAGGGCGAGGACTGCTTTAAAAGAACAGATAGCTCCACAAAACCTCCACTAGCGCAGATAAAATTGAACACTTCCTCCACCAAAACATCCGCCGCCATCTCGTCCCGGCCGTAACAAAAAAATTTCCTAGGTTGTGAAATGTCCTGAATTTATTTAGTCGTAAGAGGAATTACGTCGAAAAAGCTCGTAAAAGGTTGTCATGAACAGCAAGAAATTCAGCCTTTACCTTCTGAAAGGGTATTAAACGGTCGGCCAGTCTCCTTTCCTAACAATCGTAACTTGATTTGGCGTGTCTCTCCGAATGCAAAATTTGTTTTGTCTGCACTCACCAAGCACGTGCTACTCGTGTCAACATCAGGTGATATTTATTCTTTTTTATTTTTTTTTTCAGTTTTACATTTTACAGTAAGTGTATTCAAATCAATGAATAAAAACATCGAACAGGCCTAAATGTGGCAAGCGGTATTTTGCGATCTTTTCAGTTAACGTAACTGAATTCAAGTTGCTCCGAGGTGATCAATTGCCTACGTAGGGGTGGTGCGCATTGGCGCTTTTTTGTTCCCGTGGTATGAAAAAGTGAAAATTTTTCACTTGTTTTAATATTTGTTCGGGAAGAGAATCAGCTGATTTCCGGTGTAATTTCCATTTCGGGTCGATTTGATAACTTAATTTCGTTTTCATTGATTTATTTTTAAGACTAAAACATTAGTTATTACGTTAGAAAAGTTCTGATACACCGTCGGGTTAAATTTTATTACGGTAATTGCTCGAATCAGTAGCACCCAGGACGCTAATTTATTTATTTTTTTTGCCACATGGGAGGGGAGAGTTATAGGTTAATTCGGGAGGGTTAGGCGCAGTGTTGAACGGGGGCGCTCATTTTGTTCTTCAGAATTCCAGCCTCAACCACATACCTTAGTTTCAAATAAACGAAAGCTTCAACATTAAAAACAAAAACTGAAAAAGAAGAAATTATCTTTCAGCATAAATGTACTGTTGGCGTATATTCAGAAAGGAGAATCGACAAGGTTTGGCATTATGTCATAATTGCGTTTGACGAAGGGAAACGCATACTAATCCTGTCCCCCGGGATATCCCGAGGGTATCGTTCTGTATACCATGCGATTTCACGGTTCGGACGCCATCTTGGACTGGCTGGCACATTTGGCCTCGATCTCATGTGATCATATTCTCGGGCACGGGAAGGCTCTGTTTAATCGTAGATTTAATCGCAGTAATCGTAGATTATAGTTCGTCGCCGATTCCCATAAAGCATCTTAATCCGCTTCGTCCTACACTGAGTTATGTGCCGTAGTTGATTTTTTCACACGAAATTACTTTTGAAAGAAATCCTCTA